TGAAGATGATGAGAATGGGATGAAGATGAAGGTGATGGGGGTGAGAAGGAAGGAGATGGGAAGAAAATGGGAATAGGAGTGAAGATGATGGGAATGAGGATGAAGATGAAGGTGATGGGGGTGGAAAAGGGTGTGGGAGTGAAGGAGATGGGAAGGGAACGGGGATGGGAGTGAAGAGGATGGGAATGGGGGTGAGGATGAAGGTGATGGGCATGGGAATGGCAGTGGGAATGAAAATGTGAATGGGTAAGGGAATGAAGAAGATGGGAATGAGAATGGAAACAAGGTTAATGGGGATAGAGACTGAAAATGGGAATGGGAAGGGGGGAAAAGGTTAATGGAGATAGGGACTGAAAATGGGAATGGAAACAAGGATAATGGGAATAGGGATAGGGAGAAAAATGGGGATGAAGATGATGGGAGTGAGTGTGGGTACAGGAATGAAGATGGGAATGGGAGTGGAACTGAAGGGAGAGGGAATGGAGCTGAAGAAGAGGGGAATGGGGTTGTGAATGGGTTGATGAGGATGGAAATGAGGACGATGAGGGTGGGAACTGGGATGAAGATGGGGACAGGAACGGGGACCAGCCCCAGGCTTTCCCTCCCACCCCACCCGCAGCGGCACCGCCGTGTCCGGCGGCTCCCACACCTTCCCCAGGGCAGTGCCGCGCCCTGCATCTCCACCTGGGCACCCAGGGAGCTTTTCCCAGGACACCCCCGTGGTGTCCAGCGCCCCAGAGCCGGGATCTGCCCGGGCACAGCTCCCAGGAGTCATCCCCATCCATTATCCCTCCTGCTGCAGCCCTTTGGCCGCTGTTCCTCACCTGCTGCTTCCCCTGTTCCCGCAGGGAATCCGACCTGTTCCTGCTGGATGTGCAGGACCTGCGTGCTGGGACAGAGGGCTGGCTGGTGTTTGATGTCACAGCTGCCAGCAGCCACTGGGCAGTGGAGCAGAAATACACCCTGGGGCTGCGGCTCTACGTGGAGACGGATGATGGTGAGCCTGCCCGACCTGCCTGCGGAGTTTGGGGACAAATTCCCAGGAATTGGGGTCCTCTCGGTGCTGTGGATGTGCTGGGGGAGGGTGTTGATCTCAGTGCAGTTTTGAATTTCCAGCTCTGATGGGTGCCAGCAGTCTGGGTTTGCAGGTTCTGATGGCGTGGACTGTAATTAAGCTCATTAATAGTTAATGAGCTCCTTACCTGGAGGGATCCTCTGTGTGTGTGTGGCAGAGGATTAACCCTGTTTTCTCCATGGGACAAGCATGTGCCTTTTCCAGGTGGGAAGGCACATAGAGAGCAGCTCCTCTTCCATGGGAGGAGGAACCACAGCCCCATCCAT